CATTTACCTCAGGTAGATACACTCCTTGGAGAGGACAATCATGGGAGAAAGAAGGGCTGCTTATGCACAGGGAGACAGCTCAGGGGGCAGGAGTACATGGAGGGATGGACACTGGGAAGAGGTAACTATGCAGAGGAAGTGGGAGGGGAGCTATTGCATTGTGGCAAACTGGTCGGTGTCGTGAGACAAAGTATATGTGAACTGCTGTATGGAAAGTGAATTTGCTCTGTAAATCTTCACCCAAATCACAATAAAAATAAATAAAAAACAAAGGTGTTCTGAGTTATTTTCAGGAACACCATAAGTGAACCTTATGCTAGAAATGATATTTTTTGATTGAGAACCTTCTGTCTGCTTTACTGAACTCCATCATATGTACCCAGTAAGAACATTAGCAAGCAGGATGCTTTAATTGGGATTTTTGAAAAGAATATTACCACACTTAGTATTGTTACTAAGAAAACTGAACTTTGATTAAACTTATAAAAGTCACTTACATTCCTTTTTAGGGTGAGGAAAATGTTCTGGAATTAGATAGTTGTGATGGTTGCACAATTTTGTGAAAGTATTAAAAACCACTGAGTTGTACACTTTTGAAAGGTGAATTGTATGGTATGTAAATTAAATCTCAATTTTTTAGAAAGTCACGTACATGGTCTCCCTGCCCACCAAAACTGCTTCCTCAGGGGCAGAGAAAGAACTATTGGACTGAAATGTGGGGAGGCCATAATAGCAAGACAACTTTCTAAGCCTAAAAAACATAGATGTTTATAGCTGGTTATCAGCCTCCGTGCACACCCCTTTATTCTCAGTTACTCCTGAATGGGGCTTAGGAGGAGCCAGTTTGGTTCTTGTGTTGAGCTATGGAGCAGAGTTGGCTAATCTCCCTTCAGCAGTTGAGGGTATATTTCAGTGGAGAATGTCTGTTTTCTTATTTCCAAAGACATATGGTAATGAGCTCTGAAATATTGTGATCTCAACCTTGAGGGAACACCATCATTTGTATACTTAATCCTAGTTTTTATTTTTGTTTTAGATTTACTTATACTCCCTGTTCTTTTCTCTTTCCTCTCCTATTTTTTATTTATTTTGGTTTCTGACTTTGGTGTAAGAGGGCTTCCTCGAATGTTGTTGTTGTTGTTAAGTGCCGTCAAGTCGTTTCCGACTCATAGTGACCCCGTGCACAGCAGAACGAAACATCACCCAATCCTGCGCCAGCTCCACTATCCTTGCTATACTTGAGCCCATCGTCGCAGCCACCGTGCCAATCCATCTTGTCAAAGGTCTTCCCCTTCTTCATTGACCCTCCACCCTACCAAGCATTACATCCTTCTATCTTCCAGCTCTCACATGCATAGGAGGCAATTAGAAATATCATGGCTTGTGTCGGGTGCACCTTAGTCCTCAAAGAGACATACTTGCTCCTCAGCACTTGAAAGAGTTCCTTCGCAGCCAACCTGCCCAGTGCTACACGTCGTCTTATGTCCTGACTGCTGCTTCCATTGGCCTCGATTGTAGAACCAACAACGTGAATTCTTTGACAACCTCAGTCTTTTCTCCATTTATCGTGATGGTGCTTATTGGTCCAATTGTGAGGATTTTTGTCTTCTTTATATTGAGATGTAATCCATACTGCAGACTGTGTTCCTTAATCTTCATCAGTAAGTACCTCAAGTCATCCTCACTTTCAGCAAGCAAAGTTGTATCATCAGCATATCTCAGGCTGTTAATGAGTCTTCCTCCAATCCTGATGCCACGTTTTTCTTCATATAGTCCAGCTTCTCAGATTATTTGCTCAACATATAGATTTAATAAGTATGGGGAAAGGATACAACTGTAATGCACTCCCTTCCTGATTTTAAACCATGTAGTGTCCCCTTGTTCTGTTCGAACGACAGCCTCCTAGTCAAGGTACGGGTTCCTCATGAGTACAATCAAGTGTTTGGGAATTCCCATTCTTCTCAATGTTATCCATAATTTGTCATGATCCACACAATCAAATGCCTTTGCATAGTCAATAAAGCACAAGTAAACATCTTTCTGGTATTCTTTGCCTTTAGCCAAGATCCATCTGACAACAGCTATGATATCCCTTGTTCCACATCCTCTTCTGAATCCAGCTTTCACCTCTGGAAGTTCTCTGTCAATATACTGCTGCAACCGTTTTTCAGTTATTTTCAGTAAGATCTTACTTGCATGTGATATTAATGATATTATTTAATGATTTCCACATTCTGTGGGATCACCTTTCTTTGGAATGGTTACAAATATGGATCTCTTCCAGTCAGTTGGCCAGGTAGCTGTCTTCCAAATCTCTTGGCAAAACCGAGTGAGTGCCTCCAGTGCGGCATCCATTTGTTGAAATATCTCAGTGGGTATTCTGTCAATTACCGGAGCCTTGTTCTTTACCAATTCTTTCATTGCAGCTTCTACTTCTTCTTTCAGTACCATTGGTTCTAGATCATATGCCACCTCCTGAAATGGATGAAGATCGACCAGTTCTTTTTGGTACAGTGACAGTGTATTCCTTCCATCTTCTTTTGATGTTCCCTGCATCAATCAGTGTTTTGCCCTTAGAATCTTTCAATATTGCAACTCGAGGCTTAAATTTTTTCTTCAGTTCTTTCAGCTTGGAAAACGCCAAGCGTGTTCTTCCCTTTTGGTTTTCCTCAAATGTCTAGTGTTATTTGTTGTCTCCATATTTCAAGAACTGTGCATTACAAAGCTGATTGCCATGTCAACCTTTTTAGGTGGGCCTTGCCAACTGGTAGGCTTCACTGTAAGGTGACTGGCAGTGATCAGTTTTATTTTATTGGAAAACCCAGAGATATTAGTCTATGTAAGTCTTTTGCCTAGGGCCAGTCAGTTCCTTATAAAAAAAAAAAAAAAAAAAGAAAGACTCTCCTGCCAGGAGCCAGGGCTAAAGGAAGTAGTATAATGCAGTGAGGGCTAGGCATCCTCACACTCAGTAGGTGGCCTTACCTTCACTCCTCCTTTCTTCAGTTTGGTACCTGTTGTATACCTTGTATTGTGTCTGATGCAGTTCTCCATAATAAATCCTAGCCTTCTGCCATTAGGATGAGGGAGGGAGGGAGGCTGTGGAGTGGATTATAACTACACCTGGCTGAATAGAACGGGAGGGGACCTGAGAGTCCAAGAGCTGCCTACTCACACTCTCTCTAAAACATCCCTGACTTGAGTCCTTTGCCTTCATAGCTATCTGGTGCTTTTAATCCTGAATTGCCTTCTGGCTCATTCTGAGGCATGAGCTGGCTTGCTTCTCTTGATATCCCCCTCTGCAAGCACTTGGTATTCAGCTTTCTTGGTTCTGCTAATTCCTCCATCTGATTTCAATCTTTCAGATGTGAGTTTGCATTTCTTATATGCTGTTCTTGTCCATTTATCTTTGTCCTGATGGGTTTCAGCCTTTATTTTCCTGTTAGTAGGTTTTGAAAAGGAGCAGAGGTAACCATGTGTGTTTAGTCATCCATGTTTAACAGAAAGGCCCTTTGCATGCTTTTTATGCCCCTGAATAGACATTGGTTTCATCAGAGTGAGCGTAGACTTCTTGAAAGTTCTAGCTTCTATTGGATTGTAGTATTGCTCTGTTATTTGTGTTATGTGTTATGTGATATTTCCTCATTTTATGATAGACTGTTTCTAACTCAAGGAATGTTGTTTATATGGCGTAGAAGTGATTCTGAGTTACACAGAAATATTATTAATGACGTGACTATTGCCACATCTTTTAACAGAAGTATTTATTGGTGTTTTCTCTGTAGCAGATGTCTCCTGTTTGGTATCAGGCTAACTAAGCCATCTGCTTCTTCAATTTCAATAGTAGTTACTAGAAAAGATTTGATACATAACATGTGATTGAAATGCAGGAAACTGCTAAAGCACTGAGAGCAGAACACTGTATTCCAGGAAGATAAGCCACTTCCATTGTGTTGCACAAATCCTTCCTGGTATATAGTTGGCTCTTTGTGCTGCATCCTAATTCAGCACATGAAGCAAGGTATTTAGAAATGTCTTCTTACTGGTGTTTCTAAGTTAATTCTTTTTAAATGTTTGCTAGGCAGACATAATGTGTAGACCTTGTGCTGATTTATTAGGCTTTCTCTATTTTTGCATTTACTATTGAATCCACTCCTCGGAAGGAAGGTTGGGCAATCCTACTTCTGTAGTGATACTGCCTCGGAAACCCAAGGAGGGGTCGCTATGAGTCGGGGCCGACTCGACGGCACATAACAACAACAACATTGAATCTTCACAGTTTGAAAGTGACAGGTACCACCTTAAAGAATGAAATATTGGGGCCCACTTAATTAAACAAAACAAAACCAAAATCATTGCCATCAAGTCAATTCCTACTTATAGCAATCCTCTTTGGGTTTCTGAGGCAGTAAATCTTTAAGGAAGTCGATTGCCCAACCTTCCTTCTGTGGAGTGGTTGGTGGGTTTGAACCACCAACCTTCTGGTTAGCAGTCAAATGCTTTATGTACTACGCCACCAGAGCTTGCCAACTTAATTAGAACACTTTTAAAAAAAATTAGCAAGTCTGAGTTCCTTTCAATTACACGATTATACTGAAAATTTAACTATTCTGAAAATAAAATTCCCTTTTTAACTAATTGTCAAAAGCCCTGCCCTAAATTTAATTTAATTTAATTTAATGCATTTCCTTGGTGTTCAGTATAGTTACAAAGGTACCTCAGAGAAAGCTGGTTAACCAAGTATGGGTTTTTGGAATACTCTGCTGTTAAGTGGTAGTACTTTTGGAAATCTAATTTTCTTCTAGTATCAGTTATAACTCACCTTCATGACATCTTCCCTAGCCAGAGAGGCTGAACAAAGTATCCTCCCAGAGAAGTGAAATCTTTATTTTCCTTGCCATAAGCTGCAGAAAGTTTTGTTGCTACATTTTCTTAGATGTGGTGGAAGAAGTTGGACTCATTGTATTTTCGTATGGCAACTTAAGTTGATATTTTGCTGCTACATGTTTTTGCCATTTAAACACATTCTTGAAACCATGGATGATTGTTTGCTAGGTGTCTGTTTTCTCCTTTGTCAGCCTTGGGTTTAAGTAAGATACTGGCTTCCATAGTGGCAGCTGTCAACAACCAGTTTATTATTAACTGTTCTTTTGAGGCCTTAACACAGAGTATATAAATCAGGAACTAAATTCAGTAGACCTCACCTTGGATTGAAGTGTTTGGAATACTCTTACCTCACCAGGAGAATTTAGTAGAAAGTCCAGCAATGAAACTTCCTCTGAGCTCCTCCAGGCCATACTAGAGCAGCAGAATGTTAAGATGAAGAACATGGCCTCTGGTCCACATTGCCTAGACTCACGTTCCAGATCTAGCACTTATTAGCTGGCCAGCAAGTTACTTAGCTACTCTTAGTCTCAGTTTCCTCAAACATAAGCTGGGGATAATTGTACCTAAAAATGTTAAAAAAAACGTGTTTTGGTTACCTGGTGTTGCTCTGACAGGAAATATACCACAAATGGGATGGCCTTAACAAACAGGAGTTTATTCTCTTAAAGTTCAGGAGGCTAGAAGTTGAAGTTCAAAGTGCCAGGCTCTAAGGGCTGGGTGAAAAAGCTCCTCAGCCTTGGGCTTCAGCTCTGCCTCCAGCTCCTGGCCCACTGAAACTAGAGGTGTTTCTTCACTCAGACAGCTGCTGGCTGCTAAGGCTGAGAAGCCCAAGGTTAACAAGTAAAAAGGCACAGTCCCAATGTTACCAAACCACATAGCAGACCATTAATTTAGGTCCATTTTAAGTCCCAAGGTCAGCAGAGCATGGCACGCTGCTGAATAACGACACAGCTACGTGCAGGGTCCAAGCGTGCCATAAGCTTGAGACCACATCCCAAAGGCAGCTACTTAGCTGCTTGTGGTAGATCCTACAATGGAGTTGATTGCCAGTCTCATCATGGGGAATAACTGCCACCAGCTGCCCAGCCACTCAACCAGGCCCAGCCAAGTTGACAAACATAACTACCACAGTATGGAAAGTGTTTGCCTCCATTGCCATTAGTATATGGTCAGTGCTCAGTGCTTTCACTGACAACAGAATGTCCAGTGAGTGGTCCTAAGGTTGTTTTTTTTGTTTTGTTTTTGTACTGTCTTATGTTTGTTTTTCAGTGATATTGTGGTCCAGATAGTAGATGCTCGAAATCCACTCCTGTTTAGATGTGAGGATTTGGTAAGTAAAGTTTGACAAGATTCACACTTAAGTCCTTTGAGCAGAAGTGAGAGGACAGCATCACTCACAGAAGTAACTCTAGTCAGCATTCTGTCCTGTCCTTTAGCTTTGTTTAATTAGGCCCTGGTCTCCTCCAAAGGTCAGGAGCTTGCATAATGCCACTGTTTAGACAGATGTTTTTTCTCCTCAAACAATTGTATTTGTAGGAAGGCTCAAACACTTAGAAAACATGGACTTTCTAACTTCTGATTTAGAAGCCACTTTGTTAATAGACATTTGCCAGTGTTCCCATTTTTCAAGAGATACCAATCAAAGTACCATTTTACTCATTATAGCATATTCCTAGTCCACTTTTTATCCATTCTATTAGTTTCTCTTCTTACATCCTGGTTAGTACTCATAAAGGAAAAAAAAAAAAAAACTCACTGCCATCGAGTCAGTCAACTCATAGTGACGCCTTGTTGGGTTTCTAAGGTGGTATCTCTATGGAAGTAGATTGCCCAGTCTTTCTTCCAAGGAGTGGCTGGTGACTGGTTAGCAGTCAGATGTCTTAGGCTCTATGCCACCAGAGATCCTTGGTTAGTACTCATAGGGTTTTACAAATCAACTAAGTTTTTAAAACATCACAGGGAGCAATAGCTAAGGTGTGAGGATCACATGAAATAATGTAACACTGGAATTAATGAAACATTAGCATTCATGTGAGGTATCGTATTTCTGTTTAAAGGTCACAGTAATAATAATACAGATTGTTCTTAAATCCACTGGTGAATAACTAAAATTTTAAGGGTGAAACTGTGATGAAGTCAGCTTTTATACTTCTGCTTCTTAATGAAGAGCTATAATTGGAAATTGATTTCAATTACTGAGTCTTGTGTTCCTTTTATGCCTCAGAGATAACTTTTTACATTTAAAGATGAGACTATTATTAGGCTGTTCTCACTTGACTGAAAAATAGTCACTGCTGGCTATCAGATCTCTTGGTTATGCAGTTGTTTGCTTTGAAAGAAACAATTCTGCTTTAAAGAGAGTACATTATTTAAAGAACAATGGCCCTGTTATACTTCCATAGGGCAGGAAAACATTACTGATACACTTTCCAATTTTTTAAGTTAAAAGTATTATTATTATATGTGCCCCAGTGCCCTTTCAAAGCTTAATAAAAGGACTAATAGAACATACCAGGATTACAAGTCTTTGAATTAAAACTCACTGCTGTCAAGTCATATCTGACTCATAGTGACCTCTCCTTGGGCTTCCGAGGCAGTATCACTACAGAAGTAGATTGCCCAGTCTTCCTTCTGAGGAGTGTCTGGTGGGTTTGAACCGCCAGCCTTCTGGTTAGCAGTCAAAGCTTAGGCACTAGGCCACCAGAGCTTAGGAAATGATTTAAAACTGGAAGCAGTGTAAACTACAGTCATTAGCTAGAGAGCTTTAATAAAATTAGCCTAATTTTTGATTGTTTGAAGAGACCCTTCTGAATATCTTTGTCTTGCTTAGGAACGTTACGTGAAAGAACTAGATGTCAATAAAGAGAATGTTATTTTGATAAATAAGGCTGACTTGTTGACTGCAGAGCAGCGGAGTGCCTGGGCCTCACACTTTGAAAAAGAAGATGTGAAGGTTATTTTCTGGTCAGCTTTGGCTGAAGCCATTCAACTGAATGGCAACTCAAAGGTAACCTGGGGACATTCTGCGTTTTAGGGAGGAGGATTTGGTTTCTGATTACTATACTTTGTGTTTTGGTTTTTTCTCATTGTAGATTTTGGGGATTAGCTTTTTGTTTTTGGTTTTTAAGTGTTGTGATAGGACAATTTACAGAAAAGTGAGTCATAAGGTTACTTTCTCTATGATTGTTAAGTCTACATCCCTATTGTTATTCTAGACACTGATATTAGCTGTATCATTTTTAATTTAAATTTTAGACAGGAAGTGGTTTAGGAAATTTCATAATGACTTTGTAAATTGCGTTTAAGAGAAGTCAGAACAAAAGAGTACACCTTGTCAAGACTTGATCAGAATCTCTTGGCCTTATTTTTTTTGAAAAGAGAGAAGTAACTCTAAATTTAAGCTATACCAAATTATTTTCTATATATTTAACCAAAGTTTATAAAAACGGTTTGGAGTTTATTTTTATTTTCTAATTTAAATACGTTAAACTAATTTCCAGAGCTGAAAGCGACATTAAGAAGCAATATCTTTTTTCCTGTCCTCCTCCTTTCTTTTTATCTCTATTTGCCAAACATCTGTTGTCTGTGTGCTAAGCTGCGTGCTGTGTAACACCTTCCCCTCCATGGTTTAGTGAGCTCTAACCTCTGCCTCTGAACAAATTCCTTCCTCTACCCCCTAATTAATGATCATATAGTCTCTCTGTGACAGCTTTAAGTGATAGGGTTTTGGAAACCAAGTGACTCATTCTATTTATCTTTAAATTTAGGAAGTTCTTCCATTCAGTGAAGTTAAGTTTGCCTCCCTCATGGTATGGTCTGAGTTCTTTTCTCTGAAGCAGTAATGCCCTTGTATATAAACAGCCTTTTCATGTTTAATGACTCTTCCTATGTCCCTTTAGTTCTCTCTTCTGCAGACTATACATTTTCTGCTTTACTATTCATCATAGACATGATCTGTCTCTGGGTTAACAATGTATGGTTTAGGGAAGGCAGTCTTTTTACCTTTTTCAAAGTTAGTCACCATTTGCTCCTCTCACATCTTCTAGAACCTCTGCTGTTCTCCATGATTTCTAAGAAAAAAAATCAGCTAAAGTTGTAATATCTGTAGTTTGGATATCAAATTTGAACTTATTTTTAAAATATTTTAATATTTGCTTGTTTTCTCACCTGAGGCTTTGATACTTCCTCTGCAGTTGTTCAACCTCTTCTAATTTTAAAAATGTAAAATGCTTTCTTTTTTTTCAAGAGTACCTCTGCTTTCTCTTGACCATCTGTTAAATTGCATTGTGTTCCCCAAAGAATTGACTTTTCCCTTTTTATTTTTCACATCCCTACTGCAAAGTCCTTTTCTTGTCGTTAGCATTATTTTGAACCTGCTTCTAAGACTAGTTTTTCTAATAGATGCACATGTTCTGTTCACATTCTTGTTTTTTATGTTTCTTGTACATTTTAAATATGATTTAGTAGAGCTTATAGGGGACACTGATTTATTCATTTATATATTTTTTTAAATTCATTGCTCATGTGTCATAAAATTTTTTTCAAATTTTATGGTTCTCTTGAAAGCCATGTTTCTTTATTGAGTTGCCAGGCATCATCATGAAATCATACCTATTTATCCTGACATTTTATCTTTATTTTCCTAAACTTTAGGGTACACATTTGATTGAATTCATTGTGTCCTCTTATCACTCATTCTAACCCTGAATTATTTGGAAATAATGGAAGATTTGTATCATTTCCAAATCCCAGCCAGTTCACTTTGCTATTAGTAGAGATTCCGAAGAATTAGCATATACATGAATGGTAAATAATTTTAACCTTTCTCTTTCCTAAGTTGATTGTTATAAAGCAGGGCTTCAAACCAATTCTTCCAAGTTCAGTTTTGGCCAACAACATGAAAGCAGAAGAGACTTGAATTTGTAAAATGTGGGTGTACTAGAACAGTAACCAGAATGGGAAACATTACAGGTCAGCGCCCTGCAAGAAACTTATTCTCCCTCTTAGAAAAACAAAGGCACCGTGCACATTACATAGCAACCAAATCTCTTGATGCTCACAGTAGGAAACAACGGTATCTGGCTCAAAGATGGCTGCTAATCATCCCTCTTGGAATGTGTGTCATTCACAGTCCTTGCAATAATCCAGTCTCCCACATCAGGCTCCTGAAAGAGCTCACTGCGTCTCTTCTAAGTCTCCCATTCTAGGACTTCAACCCATTTCAAAGCCTTGTTTTAAAGATTTCCTTAGAAATCTTTAATTACTAAATAATTTCTATGTGTGGAGTTGTGTCGCTCCTACATTTCACACAAGAAGCTGTATTCCAATGATGCTTCATTTATTAAAGGCAATTGCCATACATTAGCAGTTTCCTTTGAACTCGCAAAATATAAATGTAATTTAAGGTTAAATGACAAATCATGCCTTTCCTGCTTTGTGCAGAGAGGAGAATGTTAACATTTTATTGTTGATGAGAAAGGCTTTGTTTCATTCTTCAGTTTATCCTAAGATAATGGATTGCCGAAGAATTCACCTTAACCTTAGAATTTTTCTCTTGTTTACTTTAAAGATTTATTTTAAATTACAGAAGCAGTATGATGCTGAAATAATAGAGAAATGTGTGCCCATTCCAACGGTCACTGCTATTTATAGTTGGTTGTGTATCCTTGTACTGAAAGGCTTTACATCATCTCTTCTATATTCACCTTTTACACTCTCCTTCATAACTTTTTTGGTCCTCTGTTCATCCTATATAATCGACTCACTGAATTTTATCCCTAGAAGAAAAGTACATACATCTGAACTTTTGTGGTTTCTGTTATCTCATTAGGAGCAAGTCAATGGAGATGCTGGAGAAACTAGTATGACTGAGTTTGAAAACTTCAATTTTGATGAGGCTGAAATTTCATACGATGAGTCTGAACACCTCCCGGGCAGAGATTCTCCCTCACTTCGTAAAGGTGCCTCCAGTGATGAAAACAGCAGTGAGTATGAGGACTGCCAGGAAGAGGAAGAGGAGGAGGAGGAGGAAGATTGGCAGACATGCTCAGAAGAAGACAGCAACCTTGAAGAGTCCCATGGCCAGGATGGGAGGGGAAGCTGTACTATAGGTTCTGACACTCAGGGCAGGAAAGCCCCACAGAAAAGACTAACACACAATTTTAGCCATCTGGTATCGAAACAGGAATTACTGGAGATCTTTAAGCAGCTACACACTGGAAAGAAGGTGAAAGATGGACAACTTACTGTTGGACTGGTAAGATAAATTATGTCATGAAATGATTGCCATTATGTGATCTTCGTTCCCTGTTTTTTGGCAGTTGCACTGAGACCAGTTGGGTTTCTAGCATCATGGAGAATATTATTGCCCTCTTGTTGCCCAGTGGCATTGTGGAAGTTGGCAGTGTGACATTCAGAGCCCAAGCAAGAATGAACTTTTTCAAGGGTTATACTGGTAACCCTCCTGTTCATATTAAATATCTTTACCAGTCGTCTTCCAATTCAATTCTTCTCATCCTGCAAATTGCCAATAAAAACTAGTATGAGGAAGCTTTTGATGTTATTGTCAGACTTCCAATCCAATGTTCTTACCTTCTTTTATAGACTTCCACTTTTCTGCCCCATGTAGGCTCATCATCAACTCTGTAGTCTAAGCACAACTTACTTACTGGCCTACTATTTTCTTCTGTAGGCTTTTGGTATCCTATGATCCTTTGTAAGAGCCAACTTATTTTCTAAGTCCATATATGGGTGAATCCCAACATCTTGGGTCCAGGCAAAATGTGGTGGTGGTGGTGTTATTTGCCATCAAGTTAGACCCAACTCATAGCGATCTTTCCTTGGGTTTCCGAGGCAGTATCACTATGGAAGTAGATCGCCCCACCTTCCTTCCAAGGAGTGGCTGGTGGGTTTGAACTGCCAACCCTCTAGCAGTCAAGTGCCTTAGGCACTACGCTACCAGAGCTCTTTAACTGCATGAACACTAAGTATCAAAGTAGGGGGAGGGTAATCACATTCCTAACTACACAACCCTTATTCTAAAGGTGGCTGTAAAAGTGCCCCAAACCCCAGGGGAATACAGCATGGCTCCTGATAGCTTCATCTTTAGCTAAAGAAAAGTAAGATGTTAGGAAAAGTGTTTACTATAAAGATCTTCTGAGAGAATAAAATAGGAGATCCTTGCAGGTTTAAAGTCTTCCAGCTCTCAAGTTACCCACTTCAAAAATCTATTGCCATTTAGCCGATTTCAACTCATAGCGACCCTAAAGGACAGAGTAGAACTGCCCCATAGGTTTTCCAGGCTCATCTTTCCCTGCAGAGCAGCTGGTGGGTTTAAACTGCCAGCCTTTTGGTTAATAGCCACGTGCTTTAACTACTGTGCCACAAGAGGTCCTTCCTTAGTTAAAAGGGTATACTTAATGGGTAAGAGGCATGCTTACAAGTAACATACATTCAAGATACACGAAACATTATGAGATTATTAAAATTAGTTGACAGCTACCTGAAATCTCTTTGGAGGAGGTTGGACCTTAAAGTGTAATGTGAAGTTTTAACAAGTGACAGAAAGGAAGGGCATTCCAGAGAAAGAAAATACAACCATTTAAACATAACAAAAGCTCATGGTTTGTTGTGTAATGGCATATGATTAAGTGTGACTGGAGTCTGAGGAGTGGTGAGGGTTAGGACTTGAATGGTGGAAGTACATGCTGTGTTTTGTAATAGAGGCAGAGATTTTACATTCAAAGGAGTAAGTATTCATAATCTTCCAGTTGGCATTGCTGGGGGGTTCTTTAAATCATGTAAGAGAGGGAATTAGACTTGGAGATACGAAGAAAAATCTGAGAAAAAAGCATAGAACAAGAATCAAGCATAGTATATGATTTGAGGAAATAGCATTAAATAAGCTTGCATATCATTTTATTTGATAACTTCTTTTGTTCCTTTATGTAAGCCTGCTTGATCTGATGCAACTTGAAATTTCAGATTTATTGATAACCTTGGGAGGAGGGAAGAATGGGCATTATCTTATCCTGAACCCAAGAGTAATTAAAGAGCTTATTAAATCAAGTCATTTTGCCATATTAATTTTAAGCCACCAAGACAGAAATTTGCTAGTAAATTATCAAAAATTAAAGCTACTTAATGTTACAATTATTTAAAATTTCTGTCTTAAACACAGAGCATCTCCTTCCAAATTGACCAGACACCTTTGCCACTGTTGTTGCCATTTACTTAGTATCTTTGGATCTTTGATAGATGTACCTTTGACTTTTCAGTAACTTCTGAGTCTCTTCTAGGTGGGGTACCCAAATGTTGGTAAGAGTTCGACAGTCAACACCATCATGGGCAATAAGAAAGTGTCTGTGTCTGCCACACCTGGTCACACCAAGCATTTTCAGGTATTTTTGCAACATGGGCTCTCGTATTTCCTTCTAAGCTAGTTCCTCTGGGGTATTTTATGCAGTTCTTCATCACTCACATGCTGCTCTTCTGTCTTTCATATGCTGTATGCCCACACAGATCTCTTCCTTGTCTTCCAGACTCTGTATGTGGAACCTGGCCTCTGCCTGTGTGACTGCCCAGGCCTGGTGATGCCATCCTTTGTCTCTACCAAGGCAGAGATGACTTGCAGTGGAATCCTACCAATAGACCAGATGAGAGATCATGTCCCACCTATATTATTAATATCCTTTCTGCTTCAGAAAGAATCTGGTTGTTATGTGTATGTTAGGGCTTCAGGTTTGATTTGGATATTGCCTTGCACCAGCATTTGATGGATTCAGGTCTGATATCTTAAGAATGGAGAAGCTAACCACTGTCATCCACTTGGAAGGGGATCTATGTAGGAGATCCTGGATAGAGAGGGAGAACATTGTGGAACAAAACTCAAAATCATTTGGAGGAAAAAAAAGGGGGGGTGGGGACCAAGTTTGCTGGTCCGATAGAGCCTGGTAGAACCACTGAAACTATGGCCCCTAGCTGCCCTTCAGGTCTGGAATTGAACCCACACCTGTGGTTTCCAGCCAAACGAAATACAGGCATATGAGTTAAACATTTACCTCATGTAAATACACACCTTGGACAGAACAATCATGGAAGAAAGAAGGGCTGCTTATGCACAGGGAGACAGCTCGGGGCAGGAGTGCATGGAGGGATGGACACTGGGAAGAGGTAACTATGGGAAGGAAGTGGGAGGGGAGCTGTTGCATTGTGGTAAACTGTGGTCAATGACATGAGACAAAGTATATGTGAACTGCTGTATGGAAAGTGATATTGTGACAGTGCTGTTGACAGACTGAGTAACCTTGGAAAACTTGCTTAACCTTGCAGAGACTCTTTTCTAATAAAATAGGGATAATAATATCTACCTCATCATAGTTAATTGTGAGGATTTAATAATTGTAGTTAACATTTGCCTCAGGAAATGTTAAAGCTATATGCCAGCCACCTTTAACAAGTAAAGCCAATCTTCTATATCCGTGGGTTCTACATCCACAGACTGAACCAACCATGCATTGAAAATATTCACAGGGAAAAAAACATTCCAAAAAACAAAATTTGAATTTGCCACATGCTGTGCACTGTGCTGAGTCAACACAAATGAAGTGGCGTGTAGGCATATGGATCAATAATGCTGTAGCTCCCGACATTTCACAGATCCTCATTCTTTCTCCAACACTTGTTTGAGCTTTGTGTACCTGGCGTCTCATTCATTCCCTACTTGTGTGCACACCTTGTGAAAAAAATGGCTCCTAAAAGACAATTAAGTGATCAGAGCAATTCCTCTAAGGCTAAGACAGAGATAAAGTGCTGTTTACATAGCATTTATATTGGATTAGGTATTATAAGTAGGAGCTCTGGTAGCTTAGTGCCTAAGGCACTTGACTGCTAACCAGAAGGCTGGCGATTCAAACCCACCAGCCACTCCTGGAAAGGAAGGTTGGGCAAGCTACTATAGTGATACCACCTCGGAAACCCAAGGAGGGGTCGCTGTGAGTTGGGGCTGACTCGACGGCACATAACAATAATAACGAGATGATTTAAAGTATATGAGAGGATATGTATATATTATATGCAAATATTACACCATTTTGTATAAAGGACCTTAGCATCTGTGGATTTTTGTATCTGCCGGTTGTCCTGGAACCAGTCCCTTGCAGATATCAAGGGATGGCTTTATTACTAATTCTCAAAACGACCCTTGAGGCAGATAGTGCTATTATTCCTGTATTATTCCCAAATTTATTCTTACACTTGAGGAAGCTGAGGCACAGAGAAATTAATTGCCTGAGCTCTTATGGTAGATAAGGAACTCTGCTACTTCTCAGCAGCATCTTAGGATAGTACCTGGTGTGAAATAGGTACTCAGAGATAGATCTGTTAAGATCTTGTGGCCAGCTAAGTGGATAGCTTTGTAAGTGGGGTAAAATTCCAGATCCTCATAGTTCTTGACAAGAGCCTTAATGACTGCGTTTAAGGCCACAGCTTTTTTTCCCCTCAATTTCTGTTTTCTCTTTGTATAAGAAATAGTAAGACTGACTTTATCCGGAATAAACAATATATATGTAAAGTGAGATATTATGAAGTGAGCATATATATATATTAGTTCTTAGACTGCCGTAAACTTACACAGAGCAACACGGGTAGATCTCAAAACATACATAGCACTTTTTTTTTTTTTTTCAAGTGCATTTTATTGAAATATAATTTATGTACAGTGAAATACACAAAACTAAAGTGTCATGGGTTGATGCTTTTTGAGTGCAGTGTTCCCTCCCCTCCCCTTGCACCCCTGGTAACCAACAAAGAAAGTTTCCTTCCATATATAAACCTTTCCTTGGTTTTTTACAATAATGAAGTAATACTATATTTGTCCTTCTGTGATTAAGTTATTTCATTCAGCATAATGTCCTCCAAGTTCATCCATGTTATGTGGTGTTTTGCAGATTCTACGTTATTCTTTAGTGTTGCATAGTATTCTGTTGTGTGTAAAAACATACATAGCACTATTTTTATAAAACATTTTTATCTTATAAAACAATATTCATAGATACATGTTTATATAGAAGTATGAAAAGTAGACTGAAGGATACACCACAGAAACCATGTTTGCTCTGGATGAGGGTAGGAACTGGTATAAGGTTTTAAGTTTAAATTTTTAGTGTAATTTTGATATGCCAAATATATTGTTACTCTGAGGAACACAGGTGTCATGTTTTTTGTGGTTTTGGGTTTTTGTTTGTTTGTTTGTTTTGTTTTTTGTATTTTTAAGTTTCTTTGTAGCTAAATAAGCAAATGTGTATTGAAAATTTACTGCAAGCCACATTCTGGGTTAAGTATTAGGGAAGGACACAGGCATAAATCAGCCACAGATCCTACCTCTGTGGAGCATTCGGTCTGTGGGGGACACAGGTTTGTGCATAGAGAGATAACTATGATACAAGGTAGAATGCTATCAGTGCCTTTTAAAAAAAGTACAGATATATACTGATGAGTCAAAGGAAATGATAATCTCTCAGATAATTGTAGGAGTTAGAAATAAAGACTGTCTCTGAATTAGGGTCATCTCACAACTTTATAGTTTACATAGAATCTTACTTTTCAAGGTTAAAAAAAGTCATCTCCAAGCTCTATTTCAGAGATTATTTTCATGATTATTATTTAAAAGGATTCATTTGGAAGTAATTATTGATCCATAAGACTTAGTTTAAAAGAAAAAGAAACTAAGTCTTTTTAACTTAAATATTTACTTTTCCTTTGTTGTTGTTAACGTCCCATCGAATCATACCCGACTCACAGCGACCCCTTCTTGGGTGTCCGAGGCAGTATCACTACGGAAGTAGATTGCCCCATCTTCCTTCCGAGGAGTGGCTGGTGGGTTTGAACTGCTAGCCTTCTGGTTAGCAGTCAAGTGCCTTAGGTACTATGCTACCTGAGAAAAAAAAGTGTCATAGAGGAGCTGTATTTTGAAATGTTGAAATATTGTGTCAGACACCATGGGGAGGAGGCAGTCAATTCAAGGGAATCGATTTCTTGACAACCTTACGTTTGCCAGAATATTCCAAGACATGTTTTAGAAACTACTTACGGAATTACTATCATAAAGCCTAGAGAGGATGAAGACCCTCACCGACCTCCAACCTCAGAAGAGCTGCTGACGGCTTATGGATGTGAGTTATGATTTATTTTAAAGCATGATCAGCATATAACAAAATAGTTCATGAAAAGTAATACTCTGCAAAGACACAAATTCAGAAATTTTCTCTAGCATTTCTCATGTCATCTTTTAGGGTTGATATAGTGTCTTCCAAGTAGCTAACTTGGTAGGTTTCAGGATTCAGCAGTAAATGAAAGAACTGACTGCCATCTGAGTAGTAGTTTACTTCAGTATATTAAGTGCTTGTTAGGGTTAGAAAAGGACATGCTCTGTATTCCTTTCCCTTTCCCCAGGTCTGTTCTTTTTTTAACCTTCAAGGTAGAAATGAGATCCCTGAGGAGCCACATGTCTTTCCCTAGAGGAGGCCTAGATAAAGCAGTGAGTCTTTAAGGTTTTTCATATAATGCTCTCCGATAAAATCAGGGTAAGGTTTGTGAAAACAGGATGAACATACAGATCACCGTCTACAGGTCCATGAATAAAGTCTCTGACAATTAAGTTCAAAAGAAATTCAGTAGAATAGATTCTTAGAAATAGATTTATTATACCATAGGTTGCACATGTCTTAATTAGAACAGACATTACCAGATTACTTTCATTTTGATTTGTACTTTGATTATTCAGTGGAAAGGCCTATTGATGTACTTCAAAAAAATCGGCCATCAGAAACCCTGTGGAGCACAGTTCCACTCGGAACACACATGGGGTCGCCATGGGTTCAAGTGGACTCAGTGGCAACTGGTTTTTGGGACTTTAATTGCTGGGGAAGTTGAGCATCTTTCCGTGGCCATTTTTATTTTTTCTAGGAATCACCACCTTTTTCTATGAGTGATTTGTCTTTCTGTGTGATAATTAATGTAAGAGTCCTTTTGTTACATGAGTTGCAAAAGTTTTTCCCATTTATGTTTATGTAGGGTTTCTTTAGCCCTACAGAAGTTGACAATTCTAATAGGGTTGTTTTTGGTTTTTTTTTTTTTTTTTTTTTAAAAAGATAAAACTTTTCCTGTATTTTTTTAACTGTTACATTCTTAATTTGCCTAAACTTATTTTTGTACATGAAAAGAGCCAGCATGCAGCTGGTATGTGCAAGAGCTGCATTTTCAACCCAGCTCTCTGCCACAGCCCATGGTCTTAACGACTGTTCTCTGCTATTTTCTTCTAATTGAGTTAGTATTCAAAGGGTCTTTGTTTTATATTTGGGAAACTGGGGGGGGGGGGGCACAGTGTTAGAAACTTACTCTAATATTTTGAACTTTTTAGTAATATTGATGACACCATTCATTCTATCAGTGGTCTCTTAAGAATAAATTTTTAAAGTCAAGGGATGGAAGAAGTAATTGAAGTAAAGAGAAATTGAATGTGTCTATCAATTGAATGTAATACTGGGTTATTGTTCACTTGGATTAGCAAATTTTTTATGCTAATCAATGTATTATCTGCAATAAGTACATTTGAAAAAGAAAGTAAGGATGCATAGTAAAAAGACCAATTTCCATAATTTGAATTGTTTTGTTGTGATACTCTGTCATGTGATATTCTGTCATCTAACTTAGAATTTGCAAAATTTATTTTCACAGATATGCGAGGATTTATGACAGCCCATGGGCAGCCAGACCAACCTCGATCTGCACGATACATCCTGAAGGATTATGTCAATGTAAGGGAACCCTGCTCTTGAGTAAGCAGGTCTTCTTTTTTTATATTGTGTGTTTTTAGATATAGGTAACTTGCTAAGTTACAGAGGAGGTATTTTCCTGTTGAGATGGTGTTATAACTGAGGTGGTATTGATCCAAGGGAGGCAGCATCATATAAATTATGAAACTTACAATGTATCATGATAGGAGTGATAAAGAGGTAGTTCTATATCTATTATCATTAAAATAACAAGTCTATGACATTATTATTCCCTTTTTACAAAAGATAGTATCACCAAGTTGAGGTTTTCCTCATAAGTAAAATGGGGTTAATAACAGTACCTACCTCATTATTATGGAGATAAATAAGAACAATACATGTATATAAAATTTTAAGTTCAGTGCCTGACCGAAGATTAACAAAACCACTGCCATTGAGTTGATCTGACTCACAGTGATGCAATAGGACAGAGTAGAACTGCTCCATAGGGTTTCCAAAGCTATAAATCTTGCAGACTGCCCTTACTTTGTCCTGCAGAGTAGCTGATGGGTTCAAACGTCTGACCTTTTGGCTCACAGCTCAGTGCTTAAGTACTGCACCATCAGACCTCCTCCACGAATGCTAGGCTGAATAAATAGGAAAGGAGGGAAAGGGGCCTGTACCTGCTCTGAAGGCTCAGCGTTTGAGGGGCTATTTTAGTCATAGAAGACAAAACGGCCCTTTTTCAGGAAGCTGCACCACAGGGTACCTGGCTGGAGACACCTCCTCTGAGCACGTTTTCTTCTTCCTGGTCATACAGGTAGCACATACACATTTTTATCATTCATGTCTTTGTAGGGTAAGCTGCTGTACTGCCATCCTCCTCCTGGAACTGATCCTGTGCTCTTTCAACATCAACACCGGCAACTCCTAGAGAACAAAACAAACAGTGGTGAAGTAAGAATGCAGCCAGGCAGAAACAAGAAAGCAGAGCAGATTGAAAATATAGTTGACAAGACATTTTTTCATCAAGTGAGTTTTAAAGTTTTTAAACTTTGATCCAACACATTTATTTTATATATCAGCTCAGTTAAGATACTCACATACTGTACAGTTCACCCTTTTAAAATACACATTCAGTAGTTTTTAGATATTCACAGAGGTGTACACATATCATCCTTATATGGTTTCAGTACATTTTCATGCCCCCTAAAAGAAACCTCATACCCATTAAGCAGACACTCTCATTCATACCCTCTGTCAATCCACTTTTGGTCTCTATAGATTTGCCTCTTCTGGGCATTTCATATAAAAGAAACCAGAAAACATGTAACCTTCAGTGATTGGCTTCTTTCTCTAACACAGTGTTTTCAAGGTTCATCCATGTTATAGCATCTTCACTAATTCGTTCTTTTATATGGCTGAGTAATACTCCATTATGTGGACTATCACATTTTGTTTATCCATTAGTCAGTTGATGGACATTTGGGTTGTTTCCACATTTTGGCTAATATGAATAGTGCTGCTGTGAATGTTCATGTACAGGTTTTTGTGTTGACATGCATTTTCATGTATTTGGGGTATATACCTAGGAATAGAATTGCTAACTGATAAGGAAACTCTCTTTTACCTTTTGAGAAACTGTCAGTCTGTTTTCCAAAGTGGCTGCACCATTTTACATTCCCACCAGCATTGTGTGGAGGTTCCAAATTCTCCACATCTTGAGTGACACTTCTTGTGGTCAGTCTTTTTTTATTACAGACGTTCTAGTGGATGTGAAATATCTCACTGTGCTTTTGATTTGCATTTCCCTAGTGTTGATACTCTTTTGTGTGTGTGTGTGTATGTGTGATTTGGGTGAATATTTACAGAGCAAATTCACTTTCCATACAGCAGTTCACGTATACTTTGTCTCATAACATTGACTGCAATTTACCACAATGCAACAGCTCCCCTCCCACTTCCTCCCAATAGTTACCTCTTCCCTGTGTCCATCCCTGCATGCACTCTTGTCCCCTGAGCTTTCTCCCTGTGCATAAACAGCCCTTCTTTCTCCCATGATTGTTCTCTCCAAGGAGTGTATACTCCAGGTAAATGTTCAGCTCATGTCTGCCTTTTGTTTGGCTGGAAGCCACAGGTGTGGGTTCAGTTCCAGACCTTAAGGGCAGCTATGAGCCATAGTCTCAGTGGTTCCACCAGGTTCTGTCAGACTAGCAAACCTGGTGTCCCATTCTTCCCCATCCCCTCAAATGATTTTGAGTTATGTTCTACATTGTTCTCCCTCCTTTCCAGGATCTCCTGCATACTTCCCCCTCCAAGTGGTTAACAGTGGTAGCTGGGCACCATCTAGTTCTTCTGGTCTTATAGTTATATAGACTGTGGATCACATGGTGTATCAGTAGCTAGGACTAATTGTTTCCATGAATCTTTTGTTTTCTTTATTCTTCTTTGCTATGGACTAGGAGAGACCCATCATTGCTTCTTGATGGCTGCTTGCAAGCTTTTAAGTTCCCAGTCACTACTCGCCAAAGTAGGAGGTTGAACAATGTTTTGTGTAGTATGTTATGCCAGTTGAGCTTGATGCCCCCTGTGGCTATGGTCTTGCGTGCACAGGTTCAACTACAGTCCCTGTGGATAGCTGGCTGTGACCAAGAAGTAACCATAACCCTGTCCCCTGTCAGCTCTACTATACACCTGGGAATTAATATCATACAAATACACTTCTAGGACCATTGTCTGGCAACCCTATACATGGTTTTGGGTACATTGCCCGCATCATGGACATACCTAATAGTTCAGCCTGTCCACCCGTCTATCTGCCTGTATACCCATGTTTGCCTTCACTGACAACACAGTACTGTATGTGCAAAAAAGTTCATCTTTGTTGTCTGTACCTCCCATATACCTCTCTATGTCTTCCTCTTCCTCAGTGCCACCATGTTGATCACTCACATTTGGTACATTGCCCTTCTCTTCACCCAAATCAGTACTTATC